CCCCCCCTCCCAAATCCACTCTCTTCTTAGTCTGTGTAGAATGTGTTTTGGGACAAAAACGCTCAGTGCTGATTATAAGGAGGAGATAAGGTGGAGACTCCAAAGGAATGCTTTTTTTTTTACCGTGTGGTGCACGCAGAGTGATGCCGTCACACCATGTCGGCCATGTTGTGCTGTGACGTCAGCAAGGAGAAACTAATATTTGCCCGTGTCTTTTCGTTATAATGTTTGTTTAGGAATTTGCCGTGTGTGTCTGTCTGTCTATTCGGTTTTTCTTTCCTTTTTTGTGTGTTTTAGTTTGTAATTTTTCATCGATAATATAAATGGGTGGTTGGCGGGTGCTCTGGTGTGGTTTGCTTCTTCTTTCCTTTCAAACATCTGTCGTTCTTATCTCTCCTCCTTCTTTTTTGTGTTTGTTACTCTCTTATGACACCTCTAATTTTCGGCACGTTATATGACCTTATTGTGTTGCAAGTGCCGTAAACCTCTTACTAAAGCAAAAAGGTATAAACTAAACCGGTAATATGATACGGGCTCAGTTGGCACCATGCTGGGGTATGGTGCAGACGACCTTGGGTCGAAACCCAAATAGGAGCGTTCTTGAACTTGAGTTGTTTGTGTGGGTGGTTGGCTGGTGCTCTGGTGTGGTTTGCTTCTCCTTTCCTATCAAACATATATCGTCCTTATCTCCCCTTCTTCTTGTTTAATCTTTGTTACTCCCTTGTAACACTTCTAATCTTCTGGCGCTCCTTTAGCCTTATAAATGCAGTTGCGAGCGCCGTAAAACCTCTACTAAAACCAACTTAGTTGTTTGTGAAGTTTCCGTTGGTCTCTGGCCTATTTGGAGATGGGCGTTTTTGTCTGGAGGTCCCACCTGTTGGAAAACTTTACAGATTTGTAAGAGGGATTTTCTTTAATATATATTAATTAAATGTCATACTTACTTGCCTAGCCGGGTCCTCGCTGTTCTATCTGTCCATCTGCTTCTTAGAGTGAAAGATATCATCTGTTCAAACGATCAGTTTTATTTCTGTTTTGTTTGTGTGTGTGTTGTTTGGTAGTTGTTGTTTTTTTGTGTGCGATAGAGAGAGAGAAAGAGGAGTTTGTGTATATGATATGCGTATGTGCTACTGACAGAGAAAAAGAGAAAGAGGGTGGGAGGAAGAGAGAGAGAGAGAGAGAGGAGAGAGAGAGAGATAGAGAGAGAGGGGGGGGAGGGGGGGAGGACAGTGGACGGAAACGGAAAGAACGAGATTTGAATAGCCTTTTTTACCCTACCTTTTCCCTACTCGTCTGCATACTCATTTGCATAGTGCCGTTACGCAGTTCCATTTCATTCCCCAGGGTTAAGAATGTGTGTGTGTGCGTGTGTGTGTATGTGTGTGGGCGTGCGTGCTTGTGTGTGTGTGTGTGTTTGTGTGTGTGTGTGTGTGTGTGTGTGTGTGTGAGTGCGTGTGTGTGTGTGTGTGAGTGCGTGTGTGTGTGTGTATGCGTGTACTCGGACGCACCCGGCCCTTCTTCCACCCCGATGGACTCTAGTAGAGGTCACGTTAGTAGGTCAGCAGACGATGGCCCGGCACAGCAGACGATGACCCGGCAAACTGACACCGACAGAGTTTGTCTAGCTAGGGTTGTGGAGCGAAAGTCTCTCGGGGGTGGGGGGTGGGTTGAGATGGGTGGGGGATGCGGGAGGTGGGAGAGGGTGCTATGGGTCAAAGAGGTGGATTGGTCTTTTGCTTTGGCGGGTTGGCGGATTGTGAGCCGAAGTTGTGCCTTGTGGGGGTGGGGTGGGGTGGGATTGAAGGGGTGCTGTGAGTGTGTGGGGATGTTGGACTGAAGGCTATACGTTTTCTGACCCGTTTAGACTGAAGGGGTAGGGGAGAGTTCGGAATGGGGGTATTGAGGGATGGGTAGCAAGACGACCTTATTTTTAAAAAGAAAAAGCTCGTCTCGGCCCCAGGGGTTGGGTAGTTTTTTTGGGTTTTTTGAAGGGAGGAGGTATCGGGGATGGGTAGGGATCAACGCAGACTTGTTAAGAGTAGGCGTTGGTAGGGATGTTTCGTCCAAGAGGTTAGGGTATGTGTGAATGTCGCGAGGGGCGTGGGGGAGTAATTGACCAAGTATTGTGGGTGGATAGGGATCATAGCCGAAGGGTTTGTGGGGGTGGTGGGGTGGGGCGTAGTGACGGAGTACAGTGGGATGAAGGAGTCAGGGGGTGTGGGGTTGGGGTAATGATAGGGTGTCGCCGTAGGTGGGT